CCACCTCGCAGAAAGTTATGTAAGTAGCAAAATTTGTGGGAAGACCGCCATCCAAAGGATCCCGCTGCCTCCAATCCAGGGACAAACAAAGGGTTGCCCAGGATGGGAAGCAGGGGGAGGTGGGGCGAGATCAGCTTGCTAGAGTATTTGACAGAATCCCAGACTGCCAGGGTGTGTCTCATGATAGGACTCATGGATTTGAGGCGTAGTTGGCACGGGAGCCATGGTAATACCTGGATGGAGATCTGATTACAGTAGAAGCTTTCAATGGTCCAGAGGGGGGCTCGAGAGGATTGGAACAAGTTGGTCATGGGGGCTATTTGGGCCGCCAGGTAGTATCTCGTTATGTTGGGAAGGCCTAGTCCGCCCTGTTTCCTATGGGCACACATAGTGAATTTGGATATACAAGGTTTTTTGGAACCCCAGACAAAGTTTGTGATGTCACGTTGGGACGCACGAAGAGCCAAACCTTTTTCAAAAGTCTTGTATATTCTTCGAATTTTCCTACATTTTCAGTTTATGCATAGCAGCAAAATGTGTGCATATTCCATTTATAGATATTTGCAAGCTGTTTTTAACCTTAAAAGGAGAACTATGGGGTGTTTTTCCCCATAGTTCTCCTTAGGGTAACGGGAGGACACAAACTAGCGTCCTCCCGTTACCCTAAGCTCAGTATACCGCGAGCTACAGCTCGCGGTATACTGAGACGCCGCACCTGGAGCGGATCCCGACGTAGATGACGGGATCCGCCCAGCTGCGTGAGTGACAGCTGGCTCTGCCTATCTAGAGGCAGAGCCAGCTGTACCCGCCCCCTCCCCCGTCCGTTCCGCCAGTCAGCGCTGGCAGATCGGAGCGGGGAGAGGGGAATCCAGCCCCTCCCCCTGTCACGGCAGAGAGCCATGACAGGATCGAGAGGTGAGGGAACCCGGTATGTGTTCCCTCACCTCCCGATCTACTGAGCCGACCTGTGACAGTCTCATTGTCACAGGTCGGCTAGAACTATGAGGTGAGTGGAAATCACTCATCTCATAGTTCTCCTTTAAAAGCTGATTCTAGATATATCCTTTTATTTCGGTTGTGCAAAAGTAGGGAAGGGCTAGTGCCTTATAAATAAATGGAGCTCCTGTGCTATTCAGGACTTTTCACACTGAGACTCCAACTTGAATCAGCGTCTTGTCTGACTATGCTTGGCACTACTGAAGTACTTAATTTCCTTATACCAAAGAGCTGAATACAACGTGCCTTTAAGCGCGGCAGAATTGGTTGCGCTTTGTGCGCATTTATATCTGCAAGTGTACTTCTTAGTGCAGCGGAGATTTGTGTGCACAGCCCAAGCAAAATTTCCATAACATACATGAGGAGGTAGCTCTGTGGGGTTGAATTTAGAGGTGCACCGAAATCCAAATTTCAAAACCGAAACAAAACCGAAATTTTAAAAATTGTCAGGCCGAAACCGAAAATGTTTTTTTTTTATTTTTTAAATATTTTACTTTTATTTATTTAATTTTTTATATTTAATTTTATTTATGAATTCATTTTTTATTAAATATTTTAATGTTTTACTTTTAAGGGCTTCGGGGAAATATTAGGGGTCTAAACAGACCCCTATTTCCCTTTTAAAATAGAAAAAGAGATGAAGGACACAAAGTGTTCAATCTCTTTTTCTGTATCCCATTATCAATGAACAGGAATCCTTTACACTGAGTGTTCCTGTTCATTCATAACTTGAGGACATAGTATGTTTACTATAACTACAACTATGAATAAACAGGAGGTGATGTATTCCTCCCATTCATTCATAATTGAGGATATAGTAAACATGCCATGTCCTCAATTATCTACATACACTAAGCGATCACTGATCGCTGATTGTTTGCATTTGCTCTCCTTCCTGACAGCTGTCACAGGAGGCTGAATGAGCAGAGCAGGGAGGAGAGCTCAGCCTCCTGTGACAGCACAGGCTATCCCCGCCCACACACCATTCTGCCGGACAGTGATAGGAGGCTGAGCGGTGTGGGAGGAGAGACACCGGCTGCTCATGGCGCTATCCTCCCGCAGCGCTCGGCCCACTGTCACACTTTCTCTCCTCCCCGCTGGAACACAAAGCAGCGCCTAGCAGGAAGGAAATAAAGCAGGGATGCGCAGATGTATCGGCAGGAAAATGGCATTTAGCCAAAAGTGCAATTTTCGGCCAATATATCGGTTCATCCCTAGTTGAATTGTTTGAGAATGTGATAGTTCAGTCGTTAGGTTGAGATGGCATAGGCTTCCCTGAAGAGATGAGTCTTTAGGGATTGCCTAAAGGCAGTCAAGGTGGGAGATAGACGGACAGGTTGGGGTAAAGAGTTCCAGAGAATGAGAGAGACTCTAGAGAAGTCCGTGAGGTGAGTATGGGAGGAGATGACAAGGGAGCTGGAAAGCAGGAGGTCTTGGGAGGAGCGGAGGGAACGGTTAGGGTGATATTTTGAAACAAGGTTTGAGAGATATCCGGGGGCAGAGTTGTGAATGGCTTTATAAGTGATTGTTAATATTTTTTATTTTATCCTTTGGGCGAGTGGAATCCAGTGCAGGGACTGGCAGAGGAGGGTTGCAGACACTGAGCGGTTGGTCAGGTGGATGAGTCTAGCAGCTGTATTCATGATAGACTGAAGGGGGGATAGTAGTGGTAGGGCAATGAGGAGGGAGTTGCAATAGTCAAGACGGGAGATAACAAGGGAGTGGATAAGTAATTTAGCAGTTTCATTGGTGAGGAGGGGGCATATTTTGGAGATGTTACGAAGGTGAAGGCGGCAGGATTTGGATAGTGACTGGATGTGGGGAAGAAAGGTGAGGTCCGAGTCAAGGATGACACCTGACACCTTGGCATGAGGGGAGGGATGGATGGTTGTGTTATCAATGTCAAGGGAAATGTTGGGGGAAGGTGCATGGGCGGGAGGAAATATCATGAGCTCAGTTTTTGAAAGATTAAGAAGTATAGCTGGTGGTATTCTGCATGCTATATAATGTATTGCTGGGATTTGTAGTCCCTCTACAACTTGCAGGTCAGTGGCAAAACTACCAGGAGCACAGCGTTTGCAGCTGTGACCAGGTCCTGGCATTCCACCACTGTCCTAAAATAAAAAAATAAAAGACTGTATTGTTTTAGGAAAAACTGCCACATGACACTTAAAAAAATGTATCAGTACTTGGTATCTGCGTGTACTTGAGGAAACATATCAGTACTCGTACTTAGTCTTGAAAAAAATGGTATTGGTGCAAATTAGTAAACTAAACCTAAGATTGTAATTCATTAAAGGAGCGAGCTTGGAGTGATGGCTACTTTACAACACAGAAAGGGAACATGTGGAACAAAATTAGCGACTTTCCAGAAGGAAGGACAGTGTCAGCAGCAATTCAGAGATGATTTGAGGATGTACAGCTAAGTGATAAGATAAGATACATTTTTGATAATAGTTAAGGTACTTGAACGCATTTTTAAGATTTACCTCTTGAATTTAGTGCCACTTTAACTACAAAATATAACTTATTTGTGTATCATTTAGCTGACGATCCTCAAATCATCTCTGAGACTATAATTTCAAAACAAATTATTAAACTAAATGTGAGATTATAGTCCATCATGGAAGCAAGCTTGGATCAGTGAATACTTTACAACACCGTTAAGGAGGGAATCGGTTATATAGTCCTCAGAGACAGCTGGGAGCAATGCAACTGATAAGAGTGATGCACAGGAGAGACCATAGGAAAATACCATATGACAAGATCTCTGGGAAGATCGACAGGTTTATTTTTTGCATTTATCGAACAGAAATTACCTAAATGCTTTTGTTTTTAACTTCTGTTTTATTAAGGTCAACAGTATGAACAGATTAACCCCTTCATGACTGAGCTAGTTTTTCGTTTCTGTTCCTAAATGACTGACACACTTTTTACATTTTTGCTGTGTGATTCTTCCACAGCAGCAAGTTTTGATTATTATTATTATTTTTAGAATTTTTTTAATAATAATTATAGTATACAAATATATTTATATATAAAAGTTTTATTTTCCTAATTTTTTGTACACTTTTTTTTTTTTTTTTACACTTTGTAAAAAAAATAAGTGTAAAAAAAAAATATTTTTTTTTTGTCAGTTTATATCAAGCAATCACTATGACTGCTTAATAAATTAACTTTTTAACATTTTTAGTTATTATCAGGCTGCTCCAAGCTTAGGAACAGCTAATAATAACTTTAGAGACTGATCCTGACAGCATGTCAGAATCAGATCTCACTAAAGGTCTTTGATCGTTCCTAGACGATCAGAAGTGATACAGAAGTGATACATTTCACTCGAGATACATTTTGTATCTAGTGGTTGAAATGTATCATTTAACATGGGCCAGGCTCTCCAGCTGTCAAAACAAATAGCAGAGAGGTGAGTCACTGCTACCTCTCTGCTATCTTCAGCTGTCAGATACGGGATCGCTATTTAGCGAACCCGTATCTGAATGTAAAGGCTTCATTCTTTCATTAATGAAAGAAAGAAGCTTTTAAAAAAGCTTAACTATTTCATTAATGAATGTCTCAATAGTGAGGCATTAATTAATGACTGGAACTGCTGAGAATCAGCAGTTACCAGCATTACAGAGGCTAATATAACTCGGCACGTACAGTGTACGTGGCCAGTCATATAGCCACTTTGTGACGGTACGTCTCCCGTCACGAAGGGGTTAAACTTTAAACAAAGCATTATATAATATTAAATAAAAATCAAACATATACCAGAGAAATATAACAAATATACCATGTCATCTTACAACTAAATACATACTAGACTTATACCATGCTATAACCCATTTTTCCAAATATATCACACACACACATCCAACCCCTACAGCACAAAAAGATGCATTAAAATTTTTGGCAGAAAAAAAAGAGAGGCAAATTGTTAGGGTTTTCATACTATATAAAAAGTATTAAAACAAACCTTCCCCAAAACAAATATTGCATATGCTCACCTGTACAACATCACATTATAAGGTAAAAACGTAGGCAGTGATTTCTTTATAATACGAATAGGAAGCCAAAGCATAAGGAGGACAATTGACCCGAAGACTATAAGATAAGGTAAAGTTAATTATTTGCTGTGTGTGCTTTTAACCTTTAAAGGGAGTGCATAGTGGTTTGAGATGAAACAGAACAAAATATAATATTGTAAATATTTTTCTTTCTTTTTTTAGTCAGTTAAACATGAAACATAGTTCATGAATATTCTGCATTTTCATTTAGCAGGTGGAGCTTCATGTTTTTCCAGCTTTTTATATGAAATTGCTATTTACATAGCATAACACCTCAAGCTGCTTGACAGAGGAATTCATCAAAACTGGAGCAGACAAAATCTGGAGCAGTTGCCCAGGGAAACCAATCAGCTTCTCTCTTCAGTCTGTTTAGTTAAGATTTGAAAATTAAAGAGAAAAGTCGATTGGTTGCAGTGCACAGCTGCTCCAGATTTTGTCTGCTCCAGTTTTGATAAATGTCTTGTGTGAGTTTTAAACAACTGAATGAGCAATGAATCATCCCAACCCCCAATTTCTGCTAGCTTCATTGTAGTTTCAATCAGGAAGGAAGTTTCTGCTTTACTCTTGCTTTAGAAAATAATACTCTTTTTAAACATGGCTTCAGTCAGATACAGGCCTGGTGGTCAGGGGCTGCCATCAGAAAATTTGGGTGGGGCCCCTCACACAGCTTTAGGCCTCCCCTACCGCACTCCCTTTTCACTAACACTAACCGCACTCCCTTTTCACTAACACTAACTGTACTCCCTTTTCACTAACACTAACTGTACTCCCTTTTCACTAACACTAACTGCACTCCCTTTTCACTAACACTAACCGCACTCCCTTTTCCCTAACACTAACCGCACTCTCTTTTCACTAACACTAACTGTACTCCCTTTTCACTAACTGCACTCCCTTTTCACTAACCACACTCCGTTTTCACTAACACTAACCACACTCTCTTTTCACTAACACTAACCACACTCCCTTTTCACTAACACTAACTGTACTCCCTTTTCACTAACACTAACTGTACTCCCTTTTCACTAACCAAACTCCCTATTCACTAACTGCACTCCCTTTGTTCCCATGTTGGTGTCAGACCTAAGGAACAAACTGGCCCCCCTCCAAGCCCCGGCAGTCTCTGCACCAGAGGAGCTTACACTCTAATGTACCTCCACATTCTCACATATGTTTATATAGCTCAGGCATATACAACAGTGCTTTGCAGGGAACAATGAGCCAGTCACATCAGTCTCTGTACAGAGGAACTTACACTATAATGTCCCCCCATAGTCACACACTATTATTATACATTTATATAGCTCTGAAATATACCGCAGTGCTGTACAGAGAACGCTGAACCAGTCACATCAGTCTCTGTACCAGAGGAGCTTAAACTCTAATGCAGAATGGCACCGGCTATAGGAAGACTAAAAATCCCAGCAATACATTATACAGCAATGCAGAACATTATATGAATTGGCTGGATAGAGGAGTCCTCCGCACACCTTACAACAGTCCAGGCCTATATAAAAAACGGTGCTCACAGTGACAATCACGGATGGTGCCGTGCAAACACAAAGCAGAAAAAGGAAGTTCACCAGCACTAAATTGTTTCAGCATGTCCAGTTTTATTGGACAAAGACGTCACAACAACACAAGTCAACGTTTCGAGACCACACAGGGTCTCTTCCTCAGGGCAGAAATAAATTGAGGACACATAGTCCTCAATCTTTTTCTGAAGCCCCTGTTATAAATGAACAGGAATCCTCTATACGGAGTGTTCCTGTTCATTCATAATGTGTGGAGATAATATGTTTACTATATCCACAATCATGAATGAAAAGGAGGTGATGTAGATCACTTCCCTCCATTCATAATTGAGGACACAGTAAACATGTCCTCAATTATTTATATATTGTACTAGCTCTCCTTTCTGACACGCTGTCACAGGAGTGAAAAAATTTAAATCTGCGCTTATGGAAGGGTTAAGTGTTAAAGCTGCTGTGCTATAGTTTTTAACGACAATGAAATAATGAGTGTGCAGCGCTGTAGGTGTTTTATGTGTTACACATCTATTAACATGCTAAAATCCCTACAATAGGTAAAGTGTAGTGTTAAGCCAACTGACAGGAATGGATTTATTCCTGTCTCTAGTTGTCATCATCCGATGTGGCTAAAGGGAATCCCCAAGGGCCAGTTTACCAGATTAAGACGAAACTGCGCAAAGGAGGAAGATTTTTATGCACAGTCAGAACTTTTGGTAAAAAAATTTTAAGAAAAAGGCTATGACGGTAATAAGTTGGGAAAAATACAAACAGAAGTGCAAAATAAGGATAGGTCAAAACTTCTGGAACCAGCCACACGATCTAAAACCCCACCACCTCTTTTATTCATTACAAACTTCTCAGCCCAATACAAACAGGTTGAAAATATTTTGAACAAACATTGGCATATATTAAAAAGAGATCGCACTTTGGGTTCTATTCTCCCTAACCAACCTAAAGTAGTTTACAGACGGGCACCCAATCTCAGGAACATACTGGCTAAGAATATATTCAATCCACCAAAGGAAAAAATTACTCTTTTTAACGGCATAGGTTTCTATCCATGCAAATATTGCATTAGATGTAAAACAACAGGCACGAGAAAGAAGGTCACGGAGTATTAAGTCTAATACTACCAATAAAAACTATAAAATTAGGAAGTTTGTGTCATGCCATAGTAGGTATGTCACTTACCTCCTAGAATGTCCTTGCGGACTACAGTATGTAGGGAGGACCTCTAGACAGTTGAAAGTAAGGCTTGAAGAGCATATACATAATATAAAAAAGGGGTATAATAAACATAGCCTTTCTAAACATTTTAAAATATTCCATAATTGTGACCCAAAACAACTTAAAATTGTGGGTATTGACAAAATTGAAAAACATTGGAGAGGCAGTAACCTTCTCCAAAAAGTCTCGCAAAACGAATCCAAATGGATATTTACCCTCGACACCATGACTGGAATCAGGCAAGACTGACTTTGGAGTGTAACAAGAACTGCTTTATTGAGGCAGAGCACACAGAATTTATATCTGACAGGAATAGATAAGCATTCATTGTTACATGGAAGAGTTTCCTCCCCCAGACAGCCGGGTGTCGCATTGTATTGTCTTACTTAGAGAGGAGCTTAATCTCATCACTGTAACAATGGCCCCTCCAGCCAACCTGCTGCCTTTAGAACAATGGTTCCCATCAAGTCACATGGTGACCAGCTCTCCCCAGATAACATAGTAAACTGTAAAATACCCCCAGCACACAAAGTTATCCGGGGAAATGAATCTGCAGCCCTAGGTCCGTCACAATGCTCCCCCCTGTTCCATAGTCCGGCAGACTAGGTAGGTATGGTGTTCTTTGGATGCAACTCAGCATTGTCTCTCCTCCAAACACGACGAGTTGTGTTTCTACCAAATAGTTCTATTTTGGTATCATCTGACCATATAACATTTTCCCAATCCTCTTCTGGATCATCCAAATGCTCTCTAGCAAACTTCAGACGGGCCCGGACATGTACTGTCTTAAGCAGGCGGGCACGTCTGGCACTGCAGGATCTGAGTCCCTGGCAGCGTAGTGTGTTACTGATGGTAGCCTTTGTTACGTTGGTCCCAGCTCTCTGCAGGCCATTCACTAGGTCCCCCCGTGTGGTCCTGGGATTTTTGCTCACCGTTCTTGTGATCATTTTGACCCCACGGGGTGAGATCTTGCGTGGAGCCCCAGATCGAGGGAGATTATCAGTGGTCTTGTATGTCTTCCATTTTCTAATTATTGCTCCCACAGTTGATTTGTTCACACCAAGCTGCTTGCCTATTGCAGATTCAGTCTTCCCAGCCTGGTGCAGGTCTACAATTTTGTTTCTGGTGTCCTTCGACAGCTCTTTGGTCTTCACCATAGTGGAGTTTGGAGTGTGACTGTTTGAGGTTGTGGACAGATGTCTTTTATACTGATAACAAGTTCAAACAGGTGCCATTGATACAGGTAATGAGTGCAGGACAGAGGAGCCTCTTAAAGAAGAAGGTACAGGTCTGTGAGAGCCAGAACCCTTGCTTGTTTGTAGGTGACCAAATATTTATTTTCCACCATAATTTGCAAATAAATTCATTCCAAATCAGCCCATGTGATTTGTCTAGATTTGTCTTCTCATTTTGTCTCTCATAGTTGAGGTCTACCTATGATGCCAATTACAGGCCTCTCTCATGTTTTTAAGTGGGAGAACTTGCACAATTAGTGGCTGACTAAATACTTTTTTGCCCCACTGTATATATCCCTGAAAAAGGGATTACACTTTACCCATTGTAGGGATTTTAGTAAGCTGTCACAGGAGGCTGAGCGAGTGGTGCGGGGAGGAGAGCTCGATCTGACAGCTGACTTCTCCCCCACACCGTTGGCCGGCCTCCTGTGAGCATTGGCTGTCTCCACCCACACGGCCGTTCTCCTGATCTGTGACAGGAGGCTGAGCGGTGTGGGGAGGAGGGACGCCGACCGCTCACAACACTCTCCTCCCGCAGTGATCAGCCTCCTGTGATAGTTTCTCTCCTCCTCGCTGGGACACAGAGCAGAGCCCAGCGGGGAGTAGAGAAAGCAGAGATGCACCGCTATTTCGGCCAAAAAATTGCACTTTCGGCATTTTGCCAAAAGTGCAATTTGCGGCCAATATGTTTCGGCGTCCGATATATTGGTGTATCCCTAGTCCTAAACTTCTGGAAGTCTTTGCTGGAACCAAACCATGAGTTAGAGTTCCTGGAGTTCCTCCGGAAAACAGACCAGGGCAGGATGTTTCCTCCCCAGGAGAATTTGCTCTGTAGTCCCATGTGTGGGACCTTCAATCCAAGGATCAACCCTTGGTTAGATTTGTGATCAGGGTTTTGGGACTGATGGTTGCCTTCTTTGAGGCAGTTACCTACATTCAATTCCATTCCAGACAACTTCAACTGAGCATTCTGGCAGTGTGGGACAAGCAGACACCTTCTCTAGACTGCCCCATGCTTCAGGACCTATTCGCCGAGGAATTTCAGGCTATCGAGCAATGTTTGCGTCTCCCTTCATTGGTCAGGTCACCTACAGGGCCTACTGGCTGACAACACCATGGCTGTGGCATGCATCAACCAGAAGCCGCGCTGTGCAGCAGTAAGCAAATCCTGTCTTGGGTAAAAAGTAACGTTCCAACCTTATGCATCGGGCACATCCCAAGAGTGCACAATTGGCAGGCAGATTTCCTCAGTCAACATAACTGGCCTCTATTTTCCAAAGAATTTAAGGAGATCTGCTGCTGTTGTGGGCTGCCGGATGTAGATCTCTAGATGCCCAGACTAAGTATCGAATTGGACAAGTTTGTATCCTGGTCCAGGAACGCAAGAGCATTCACAATGGACGCGCTGGTAGCTCCGTGGGATCTCCCTGCTTTACGCTTTCTGGAGGTGATTGGTGGAGTAAAAATTTTACCAGAAGGGGTAAGGGCGGGTGGGGTGTCACGAACGAAACAACAGGTGAGTAGGAGAAACAGGGGTTAAAATGTGTGGGGCTCCTCCCACAAATACGGCTAACAAGTTACTGATACACACCTGAACACAGAGGTGATGAACCTGCCTAACTTAACCTGAGGTGTGCCATTGGCACTATGGATAGTATGCAAATAAGGGGGTAAAAATTACCCTGTAGGGATGGAAAAGCAGAATTATTGGCACGGAACAAATTACACAAGACGTTTAACATAACACCTGATACATCTCCCACTGAGGATTGGGCACATACCTAGCATAACATTCTGAGTTCCATCTGACCAACTGTTGGATGACGTGTACCGATATGCTCTTACTAGATGCTGCAGAGGCTGCCCTAATCCTAACTGAATAACCCGAACACTGCTCAGGGTTGAGACCCATGTTGGCTATCACAATACGGATATGCTTCATGAATTGTGAGGAACTGAGTGGTCCTAATGAAAAGGATAATAGAGGGCTATTAGGAGGGGAATGAACAACTGGTCCAGAGTCTCAACTGGAAACCAGGCATTGTAAATGGTGAAATACTTAACCTCTATGCATTTAACAGGTTGCAGAGTCTTGGAGTGTTCCAGACTTAGACTAAAGTACGTGAAGTGGCGAGTCAGAAGTCTTCTGGAAAGAGCAGGGCCTGTGACCTGGTGACAATAAACACCTCGCGTCTGAGAAAACCGTAGAACGCCAAGATGGCCGCTTTTAAAACTAGGCTAGGGAGTTTGCCAAAGGGGCCAAAAAATAACTGCATAGCCCTATAGGCCAGCCACAACCATTGACGAGACGGGTCGAATCATTAGAAACCTGCAGGATGACCCTCAACATACCATCACACTTAGCAAGGAGCTCCTCCAACATCAGCACTCACCAAAAGCAGGGGACGGGTGCTCCGCCAAACAATGGACAAGGAACCCCGTGCCAAATGCAGCACAGTCATGCCGAGTAGGCCTGCCTCAGAGTACAGGCTGACACAGGATGGGCCCTGAAAGCTAGGGGCTCAAATATGCCACAGGCGACACTACCCAAAAACTGCAGGTGGCATGGTCAAAAATCATTGCGAGCTTGGGGATTACCTACGAAATAACTGTGTCTGTCAGATTTGTCCAGCCGCACCGCCTGCGTGTGACTGGCAGGAGGTCCCACCGCAGACCTAGAAGGGCCAGGGGCGGAAGGTGTATCAGCACTGGGGCACCACACAATGGTGTGACAGGAGAACTGGCAGATAGCACAAAACCGGGAATTCCAAACCTGTAAAGTGGTGGGAGAACAGCTCCATGTCAACACAGCCCCAGTAGGTTATAACTAGGAACTGAGCCAGGGCAGCTGCCGCCTTAGCTGAAAATTACTGGATGTAGTCATGAAAAGGAGAAGCCACCATACCTATGTCCCAACTCAACCAATCTATATAGCTACAAATCCAATACATCCCTCCTGTTCGGCGTGACTGAACATTCCTGTGAACGCTAATCGCTAACATGAACTCGGGCAACTACTGAATCAGTTGGGGATCTTCAGCCTCGAGGATGACCGACATCCCTACAAGCGAAGGATTTGTTTACTGCCAGATCACAAGATGCCAAAAGTAGGGAGGCCAGATTCACATCTTTCCCCTCGAGGATATTCCTCCTAATATAAGGCCTTAGAGCTGAAGATGTTTCCCACCACAAACTCCATCCTACGCCGAAGACTCTGACTAGAGGAATTAAGAGAATTCAGCAAAGTGTGAATTTGCGTCAGGGAAGTAGCCATAGACCGTTAGCCCTGGTAGCAATGGAGCTAGGAAACAATAAGCGGACCAGTTCAGCTTTCAGGGCCATCACCGTCACTTCAGGGTGAAGTAGCGTGGTGTGACGCCCTAACGTAGTGCAATCATGCCCTAACCGTAACGTGATGGAAACCCCTAACCAAGTTTCACACACCTGGCGAGAATGGAGAAGCAGAAATTCACATGGGGAACCGATGCGACCCACAAACAAGACACTCCTGCGAGTAGAGGGAAGCACAACATATCCCAATGCATGAATGACCCAGATAACTTAGACCATACTTATTTTTCATTTATTTATTTTTTATTACACACATATATCTGGAGGCACATATACACATATGTATACATATGTACACATACACACATACTGTGCGTATATTAAGATATATACACATACAAAAAGACAACGTAACCGTAATGTATTAAAGACAGCGAGGCCGTGTGAACATATACATGAACAGGGTAAAACGCAAGCATATCAGAATGAGCAAACAGTGAACACACTTTTCATTAACAATTAGACACGTTCACATAGAGAAACATGTACATGAATGGCAACGGAAACATGAGTTACCACATGATAATTGTTCGTTACTTACTCATAAATATCTATAGATATATCTATATATATATATAGATATATCTATAGATATATATGCCACTGC